TATTATTATTATTATTATTATTATTATTATTATTATTATTATTATTAGTAGTAGTAGTAGTAGTAGTAGTAGTAGTAGTAGTAGTAGTAGTAGTAGTATCATTATCATTATCATTATCATTATTATTATTATTCATCCCCGGAGATCAGTGCTGTCTTTCTTTACTAAAACGAGAAGAACCAAACGGGAAGGGGAACGGACCTCGACGTTTTGCTCAGGTCTCGGAATTGTAGGAGCCACACGGGCAAGTGTTTCCTAGATGAAGAGCAGAACATCAAGGCACAAATTAAACCCCACATCGTCATGATCATCTGACCTGAATGTTTAATTGTGTAGGAGGTGGTTAGAAATGTTTAATAGAAGAAGGGTAAGATCTGCACCAGCCCAGAAGCTGCAAGGTAAGAGCTTCAGCACTGAAGAGCAGCAGACGAGCAGCAGACCTGGGGACTTGGGTAAAACTTTTGATGTGGTAGAGCAGGATGTAGAATCTACCGGGCTTGGAGAAAGGGATGGAGGGAATTCCCAACACATCTTTCCATTTAGAAAATATTGATACAGTAATTTTAATATAGATAAGGGTACAACTTGGATGGAGAACCAAATTTCATGTTTAAATTCAGTAGTGTTTTGTTAACGTTCTTTAATTGCCTCAATCATTCTAACATACAGTATGATATTCTATTTTCCAACCTCCTCTACACTTTCTTAAGAGTGAAATGCAAGTTCCAGACCCATACAATAATCCAAGGACCATATTGCTGTGCAGAACATGGAATTCTCTTTTCATTGAAGTTTGTCAAGCTTTTTCAAAAGAGAAATTCAGTTATTTCTATTCTGCAGTTGATGCTTTGCTATCTCCCCGAAGTATCTCTTTTTAACTCTTAACAACTTAAAGTTGTTATGTCCACACACAGACAATTAGAGCCAGGGGAGTCCTGTGCAATGAGGTCACGGGGGTCAAGAACAGTCTCGCTAAAAGCACCCCAGGGTAAAGAGTTTTCAGGAATAGGCTGGCATATGCTTCATAAATGATTTGGAAGAAGTGCTCTAAAAAATAAAAGAGGGTTACTTGAGTGGAGCTGGCTGGGGAATTCTGGGAGTTGAAGTCTACCAGGCTTAAAGTTGCCAAGCTTGGAGACCCCTGACCTAGTAGACATGATAAAAAAATAAAACTTTTTTCAAGTTGAACTAGACTCTTGACCTGGACACATCCATGCTGTTTTCATGGCAATGATACAGAAGCGATTTGCCATTGCTGCCATTATTTTAGTGTTACTCTTCAGGACAGTTTACAGCCCTGACATTTCTAGCTGATGCCCTATCTACTAGATAGTAACGTGGTTTGAGCCTTCTTAGTGGGTTCTACATCGGGCCTAATACAATATGAAAAGGGAAAGAAAGAAGGAAAAAAGTAAGTTAAGAAAAATTGAGAAAGAAGAGGTGACTGGTTTTTCTGCTCATTGGTACTACACTTAAAAAAAATCTGTTGCTGGATGCCTTCTAGTCTTGGTTTGCTCCTTGACACTAGATTGGCTTTCTTTAGCTCAACACCCTCTCTGGTGTTACACTACAACATCCAACATTCCAGCCGGCCTGGTCCCAGAGACTGAGAACATGGAGATTGTAATCTAACGCATCTGGACAGCATCAGATTGCAAAAAAAAAAAAAAAAATCCATTAGTTTCTGAGGCAGGTTTGGAATAAATTCAGCCCATCTGCTAAAAGTAGTATCCAGTATTAGCCAGTAGAAACTCCTTAGATTTTAGTAGCTCAGTACAATCATTCATTGGGTCAAACTTCAGTTGACTACAAAAAATTTCAAAAGCAGAAATACTGGATGGCTAGCCCATTCATAGTGCTACTCAATATATACAAATAATCTACAGATTTATTCATTGACTAAAACAAAATAATGTCTATATAAAACAGGTAGTGATGGATTATTGCTGTCAACCTTTGTTATTTACTGTAAATGACTGATCATTTTTCATTTTTATGCAGGGCAGGGATCAAATTATTAAATTTCAATTATATACAATTGTATTTGTGCTTATGTAAGCATTTCTTAGTGAACATTGTTATGAATTAGTATTTCAAAGTTCTAACAATCAAATTCATTAACTGACAATAAAATTTGGGGAAAAACTCACCTTTCTTTATGTAGAGGTTAAGTCAAAGTATGTTTTTCTTTTACCATACTCTTTTCATATTGCTATTTTCATGCCTAATTTTAGGACTACCAAGCTGCATCTCTAGCATTTAATTCTATTTTGTCCCTTTCGCTTCTTTTCTTCCATTCCATTTAATCATTAAAGAGTCTTCAAATCTTTCTCCACTTATATAAATGTTAGAATGGCCAGACATGGGAAACTGTGTGTTAGACTGACACCTTGTGTTTCTAAAACAAAGTTGGGAATTGCAAGAAGACAGGATAACACCATCAAATGAATCATACCAAGATAACTATTAGAAATGACAGTTCCTGAATCTATAAGTTTTCTTCTATATTTGATTGGGTAGTAGTTTCTCTTCTTCCATGTAAGTATGTGTCAGGGCGAACTCAAGACATTTTGCTGTTTCTCATGAAGACAGGATAACAGCATCACATGAATCATACCAAGATAACTATTAGAAATGACAGTTCCTGAATGTATAAGTTTTCTTCTAGATTTGATTGGGTAGTAGTTTTCTCTTCTTCCATGTAACTATGTGTCAGGGCGAACTCAAGACATTTTGCTGTTTCTCATGAAGGACAACTGCATACACAGAAACGAATCTGACTAGTAGTTAAAACTTCTTTCTATGCTGGCAAGGGAACAGCATCCTTCATCGCATTTGAGACAGTAAATAGTTTTAGAATATTCAGTCAGATTACAAACACAAGTAGAATTCTGCTGTACATGTGGACTATTGCAACATGTTCTATATGGGGCTACCTTTGAAAAGCATCTGGAAGTTCATTAAAAATGCAGCAGCCTACATGGTTTTATGCAGATCTCAGTGCGCATATGTGTCACCACTCCTATGGGAGTTGCATTAGTTGCCTCTTTACTTTCAGGTGCAATTTAAGGTGCAGTGGTCACTTTTAAAGTTCTTCATGGTTTGGGATCAGGTTATCTGAGGGGTCATTTCTTGCTGGTCACATCCACCCAACCCACTAGAGTGGGGAGGCAAGAAATGTTGTGGGTCCCGACCCTAAGGAGGTATCCAGAAGAAGGGGCTAGAAGAAGGGCTTTCTCTGTGGTGGCTCCTTGCCTGTGGAACATCATCCCTCCAGAAATTAGACTGGCTCCAACTCTGACACTCTTTTGGAAGGCCTTGAAGATATGGTTTTGCCAGTGGGCCTGGGGAACCCAGAGTGGGATGGAGCCCATTAAATGACTGATAGGAGTGTGTCTTGCCACTGAGGAGGGTGGTGGGTGATTATTACTTTATAATTTTTTATTATTTTTATTTTTTTCTATATTGTGTTTTATTTTCTGTAAGCCGCCTAGAGTCGCCATGAGCGAGTAGATGCTATATAAAATTTCCAAAATAAAAATAAATAAATAAATAAATCAGGGTGATCTGACCTAGCAACTTTTGCTACTATCTCCCCATCCATATTTTAACTAATCACCAAAAGGCATCCAGTAAATCCATAGAGTATTTTATGTCTTCCATTCTGAAGGTGAAAAGAGCTGATTTGTCTTAGACGAAGTCTTAGAAACCCTCTTGCAGCTACCCTAGAAATGTCTAGGACCTTTTTCTCAGATCTTGATAATGTATTAAAAAGCAATTTCCATGGATATGTTGGGATTCAGCTTGTGGGACGATTGAATCCTATTTTCTTAATCCATTCCCAGTACTCAGAGAAATGTTTGCTGCTAGAATGAATTTCTTCCCAAGATGAAAAACCTAAAAGTATATAAGAAGAGTATGACAATGATCATTCTTCCTACTCATTCTCTGCTGGAATGAGCTTGCTAAAACTTTGGAAGGCATTGTCTTTAGTTTTAGATCTTTTATCAACCCATAGGCAGACTTTTGTTGTTAATGGATGAATGAATGTTTGAACTCTAGCAAACTCTGAGATGAAGTTAGTGGACACTTCTCTTATCTTATCATTTGTTTAATGAAATACAGTAACAAAAATGTCACATATCTCTGAATTCAGTTTTGTAGACATGGAGTTTGCTACTCCCAGGATTCTCAGCAGTAAGCCATTTGTAATTAAAAGTCTGGTTGTTACAGTTCCCAAATGTCTTGGAGAAGGGTTGTGGGGCATGTTATGTCAGCCTTTTTACCTTTTTGGGTCTGGAATGTATTGGGAAAATTACCTTTCCCCCTTTTCTCCTTTATTCCCAGATGAAAGATGTGGTTCTTCAGAACAGCACTACTGAAGGACCAGGTGAGTATGAAATATGTGAAGCATGACCTTCTCTTATAGTGTGGATTTGGACTATATATGTCTGTCTGTCTGTCTAATCTATAATGGGAAGAATCTTGGAGGCTATTTATGTGCTCTGATGCTATCCTTTGGATTTCTTTTAAAGACCCTCCACCCTTTTTAAGAATCTCTTCACTCTTGATTGTAACTTCTCATGTTACAATCCCCTACAAGTTTATCCTTTCCATTTTTCAATTACTACTTTGTTTACTTAGATTATAAGGACTGAAATAGTTGAAATCTGTAGAAATTGATTTAATAAAGGGGAGACACTATGATTCAACTAGTGTTTTCTTTGTAATATGAACACAGTACAAGGTTGTCTTCCATTTTTCACCCAATAATTTCCACATTCCCACCAAATACTGTTTGTATATTTTTAAAATCTTGCTAACTGCAAAGAATCAGTTTACTGTTACTTTTAATATAACTGATCTTGCATTAGTTCATAATTTCCAGTTAATGATTACAGTTCGAAGTTTTAATGGAAAAGATCTTTGTTCAACATCTTGAAGAACCGTAGCTATTCAGTAGATGCAAATCCAGTATTGTTATTATTTACTTGGCAGACATTATTGTGCAATGAGTAATGATTCTTGCCCTTCAAAAAAAAGTATGTTGGGTGAGGTCAAGGAATGAGATCTCATAAAAGCTCTGAAATTTTTCAATTTTTCCACCATTTTGGGAAGAATTTTGATTGGACTCAGAATGATTGCAATTTAACCTGTGGGGTTGTAGGCATTGTTTTTAAGGGACACTGAATCCCTAATACATATGAGTAATGTGTTGCTTGCCTCGAGGGAGACAGTACTAAAACAGAGGCAAGGGAACGTCCTAGAGTCATAAGATGTAAGGGATGATGGAGAACATCTTGTTTAATTCCCTGCATAGTGCAGGAATCTATTGCTATAGTATTCCCAGCAGGTGACTTTCCAGCCTCTGTTTAAACTTTTTCAGCAGCAGAGACCCTACCATCTCTGAAGGAAGTCTTGCCAATTGAATGTTTTTCCAGATGTTTGACTAAAATCTACACCCATGTAATTTAAGGCCATTATTTTTGTCCTCTTCTTTGGAACAACTCTGAAAAATTCTGTCCCATCTTCTGTATAATAATCCTTTACACATTTGAAGCAGCTATCAAGTCTCCCCCACAGTCTTTTCTCCAGCCCACACCTACACACCAGCTCCAAATGTTCTGCAAAGATTTTTCCTTTTAGATTCCCTGTCTTTTGGATTACTGTTGTCTGGAGACACTCCCAGCTTGTCAAAATTTGGACAAGAACTGGGCACAATATTCTAGTGCAGTCTGAAAAACAAGCAAGAGAAAGACACAGTGGCTTCCTACATGCACTTCCAGCATTGGATATATGAAAAAAACAAAACAGGCAACTAAGTACTTTACTTTCATACTTCTTTTCGTTTTTTAGTGGTATCCTTTTTTGATGTTTGGAATCGCAGCTCCTGCCAGCCATTGGAGAAACTAGTCAGTGTTGTATCAGAATACCCACATGAAGTGGAGCACGTGTTCAAACCATCCTGTGTTTCTGTGCGTCGCTGCTGTGGATGTTGTAGAGATGAGGCACTGCAATGTGTCCCAGTGGAAATGGCCAATATCACTATGGAGGTAGGTGAGAAGACTGTAGTTCCATTTATCCTGGAGCACAGGGTCACTTCCTCACTTTCTCTGCAGTTAGCTGTCAAGGCTGGTTTGCTTCATGTAAATGCAATTCAGAGTTTGCTCCCAAGAAGCTAATGTCCACTGCTGAGGTTCCCCTAGAACTGGAACTGTTCTTAATATTTTGAGTAAAAGCGGTATATTATTTTCCCATCTTTTCAAAACTCTACAGCTCCATAGTATAGGACAGTTAGATAGTATACTTCAATTCCCAGAATTCCTCAGCTAGTATGCTGGCTGAGGAATTCTGGGAGATGAAGTCCACACATTTTAAGATTGCTGAGGTTGAGAAATGTTGTCTTAAGAGAAACAAGGCAGTTCGGCCACGGAGTCAGATGAAGGAATTGCCTTAGAACCACACTGGGTAACACATTACATTTATGTATGAATTTGTATAGTATTCTTTTTACTTTAACTATATGTGTGTCTGTTTATATAAAATTGCTTACCAACTACGATCGGGAACAGCAACTCTCTCATTAAGAGCAGCAGTGCTTAAGGAAGAGGACATATGACCATGACTTATAATTTCATTTCTGTCTTTTGCATTAATTCTGCTTGTTAGAAGCCAGTTGTGAAGCTTGCAAATTGTGATCATGGGGTGCTGTGATGGTCGTAAATGTACACAAGTCACAAAGCACTTGAATAGCAATCACATGACCGCAGGACAATGCAACAGACATAAATGCAAGGATTGGTAGGTATATTTTTCTAATCGTTGTAACTTTGAACAGTTACTAAACAAACAGTTGGTGATTGAGGACTGCCTGTAGAAGGCATGGATAGGTGAGTCCTATCTGCCTCATGGTAAGAATTGCTTACCCTGAGTCTGCTACTTGCCTAAAAGGGGATATCAGCTGTTTATCTAAATAACTATTTGCCCCATTGGAAAACAGTAACTTCAGAGTGGTTATTTTCCCTGGAAGTCTGATGCAATGATAAAAAATGAAAAACAACTCTCCCAACATTGCCCAAATTCTGTTTATTATTGTTCCTCCTGGATTGCTATTTTTAAAAATAAAGCTCAGATGCATCACATGGCTCCATATGTAATGGAGTACTTGCAGTGGTGTTTCTGAAGCCAGCTCTCATTGGCTTGTGAGAGCTGGTTATTAAATTTTCTGGAATTTTATGGGATAAAAGTAGGGCTGAGCCTTGTTGCCTTCTGTCCCAATCAGCTGTTCTGTGGTGGAATGGTAGCAGTGGAGCCAATGCAGCTGGTTATTAAATATTTCTCATCATACCACTGTTTACAAGCGTACATTGTTTTTGACTTGTCTCATCTGGCCAATAGATACAGGTGGCCAAGAAAGCTTCCCTCTGATGTGAAAGAAAAACAGATTGTTCTTTGTTAATCTATGGCTCTGGGGAACAGAGTCATACTTAAAAAAACCCTGCTCTTTGGTCAAGTGGTAGAAGTGCAAAGAGATAAAGATGCTCAACAAATCACTTAGATTTTACCCTTTCAGCTCAAGAAGATCAACCTAGAGAATCAGGTACCCTTCGTGGAGTTGTCATTTACTGAACACAGGAAATGTGAATGCAGGTGAGCAACTTTGCTGTGGCATTTGGTAAGTGCATCCGGTGCTTTGCAGTGTCCAAATTAGGGGACAAGGGAAGGCAGGCTTTTAATAAACCCTTCTCCTTGAGAGTCTGCCTCTTCGTTGAGGTCTTTGCTATTATGCTTCAGAAACTGGTACTTCAGATCGCCTCTTAATGTCACATGACATTATGCACATGGAGGCACATGAGTTGTGTTAGAGAATGGCTGACTTTAGAACCACGGGGTCAAGTTTTGTTTTGTTTTTTGTAAATTTTATTTGAGTTTTCACAAAGAGAAAAAAAAATACAAATAAAACATTTTTTTTTTGAAAGTAGCGTAATCCCAGGTTACATTTCTTCGTACAGGCACAAATTCAGGTTCATGGTCATTTTTATATTCTATTCTATATCTTATTACTATTTTACATTTTCTGCATAGCTTCTCCCCTCTTTTAATTTTCTCAATTTTATTTTAATTATCTCATCTCAATTCAAATCATTGTATTTATATTTTTTGTCTGTCCTGTTTCAATTATCTATTATCTTTTCTCATTAAACAAAATTTCTCCTGTAGTTACTGATTGGAGTATGACGCCTTTATATCTTTTCCCTAAAGTTGTAACATTCAATATAATATATAACTGCCATTCGGATTCTGCTTGGTACATTCTTAAAATATACACTTTTCTACTTTTCTTAAAAAAAGAAAAAATTATAAATGTATATAATTAAAACATTCCATTCCAATTCAATTCTGTCATTAATCTTAATATTCATTAAAGTCTTAACATCTTTAACATTACTTTTCAATTAAATATCATACTTCTATGGGAACAATTATAAGCTTTCCATAGCTAATTCCCCCCCTTCACTTATATTTTATAAAACATTAACTAATTAAAATGTTCCTGTTCCTTCCTAATTCAATTTTCTCATTTATTTTATTTCACTTATTTTATTCACAAACATTTCACTAAATTACACTATTTTATCCCTCATTTTAATCATACGTTGTTTCCAATTTTCTAAAGTTAATTCTATTACTAATATAACAATACAATCTTATGTACCTTTACAGAATCCCTTTTTCAGTTAGATTTTCACCCATTATCTCTAAATAGGTCCTGTTTCTCTGTATCTTGCTCCGGTCCTTTGTAACTTCTTTTCCTTTCCTTCTTCCCTCTCTTCTTCTCTTCCCCTTTTTACCCCCTTGCCTCTCTACCTCTATTTCTCTCTTCTGTATTCCGCTTTTCTGTTGCTTTCCAGTATTATACTTATTTTTTGAATTATTTTTCTTTTCTTTGGTTGTTTTTTTAAGTCTTAAATTCTCCATTCTCTTTCCCCTCTTTCCTTTTTCTTCACCACATAGAGTTACTTGTTCATTAAAGATGGCTTCTTCTTTGTTCCAGTCTTCTTGTTTTGCAGTCTTTTCTTGTTGTTTCTCATAGTTCCAAATCTCCATTTCTAAGAATTGAAAAACGAAGCCAAAAGAACCCTTCCCTTCTTGTGCATCTTCTTTGTACTTTTTAAGTTCCATTTTCAATTCATCCAGAAGTGGTGCCATTGTATAAATTTTTAAACAACCAACCGATTGATTTTAGTCATTCAAATATAATAACCAAGAATCCAAAGATCACCAAATAATCCAAATACACGCAAGCTGTTTCTTTTTTGCTCTTTTTTTTTCACTTTCTCTTCCTGAGGTTACTATTTAGTTGCAAAGTTTCAGTTAAAATGTATCTTTTAGAAGTCTTGTTGAAGTTTTACTTTAGATTCTTTTTAATTCCAGGCAGTCTCCTCCCTCTTCCAGATCCTGCCCTAATTCTTTTTCTCTCCCTTCCTGCTTATGAAAAAGTGTTATTGTAGTTCTGGTCTTAGAAAATGTCAAAAGCTTCCCCATTTCTGTGCTAGAGTTCAGCCTTTCTGTCCACTGTTGCCATCATCAAAGTTTCTGGAGATTTCTGAATCATCTGGCACACAGCCAGCATGACGATAAAGTCAGTATAGCATGAACTATATTTAAGGAGCACAGACTATGGGACACTCTTTTAGGGAATCTACCTTTTCCCTTGGCTGGGTGTGTAGCATCACATCTCCAAGGTGCTCTGTATATGCGTGGAGCAGACACCACCATAAACTAAAAGTGACTAATTCTTTTCCCCCAGGCCCCGACAAGATGCTCTGAAGTCAGGGAGGTAAGTAGCATTAGTAAAGATTCTGGAGGCTGGGACTCTCTGCAATGTCTTATCTCCCATCCACTCTTTTCCCCACCTTTCCTCCAAAAGGAGGAGGAGACTCAAGGGACGCAGCAAGAAGAAGCGGGAAAAGCAGAGACCCAAAAATTGATCTCCATGTGAGTATCAACAGCAGGGAGAGGAAAAAGAATACTATGGTGTAAGAGTCATAAGCAGAGACTATCTTTCCTTCCATCAGTACCTGATTTGGCTTCTGGATCATGCAAAGCCAGTGGGGTGGCGGGCGGGGGTGGGGGGAATCTTGGTCTGGAAATCTCATCTTACTTTATAAATAAGTATTGCGTCAGTGTGGATTCAGTTGCACCCATTTCCCCATTCCCTGATTTTGATTTTGGGACGGGGTGATTGTAAGTATCTGAGTAGACAGCCATAGTTTTTCTTTGCTGTGTTCTTTTTTTTTTTCATGGCTACTTAGATAATGTTTCTGTCAAACGATCTGAATGAGTGGCTATTAGTTTAGGGCCATAGCAGCCAATGAGCATGTGAGCATAAAAGTGGTGCTAAACCCACGTTTAGTGACACCTGCCACCAAATTCTTTTTAAAAAGGGAATAGCCTAATTTAAAGACAATTACTTTTAAGGAAGGTGCAGAACCAATGAAGGTCAATGCACAGAGAGGAGGGGGAATTCCAATGCTGGGCAAGAGAAATGAAACTTAATTCTTCAGGATCTGCCTGTGGCAGAGTTCAGGAACGGAGCTCAGATCTGTGCTTGGCTCGAGAAAGAAAGCTCAGATTCCAAAGATCCACATTTTGTTTTCCCAGCTCAGCATAGAAATGTTCTTCCAGTGAAGAGGAGAACTCATGTGGCTAGCTGGAGAAATGAAGCTTGAATATTTAGGATCTTTGCTTCTCCAGCCCAGTGCAGGAGTTCCTTTCCATGCACAAGTGGGAGGGGAAATCTTCGGACTCCATTTCTACATCCCAGGAGTTCCCTTCCTTCAGTTGTATTGACTGTTTCCTAGTATGATTTGATTGCTTATTGTACCCTATGACTATCATTAAGTCTTGTACCTTATGATTCTTGAAGAATGTATCTTTTCTTTTATGTATATTGAGAGTATTTGCACCAAGACAAATTCCTTGCATGTCCAACCACACTTGACCAATAAAGAATTCTATGCTATCCTATCCTATCCTATTCTAGGCAGTTCTTTCACTCCATATGTGTAACAATTCACATAATTATTAATGATCACAACTGGAAGAGCCAGGATTGTGGTCATTGAATGAAGTAGTCATATGGGCTATTTACTTAACAATCACTTTGTTCAATGACCAAGATTGTGGTTGCATGTCAAAGACTACCTATAATTGCCATATCCTATGGCTAATAATTTTGCCTTGTTCTTTTGAAGGGGAAAAATAATTCTGTTTTGAGATTGTCAACATAAAAGCATTGTGCTACAGTATTTTAAGACTGAACCTCAATATATTCCTTACAAGTTTAGCTTGGAATAATAAACTAATGTTTGCAGCTTAAAGAAGAATTCAGCCAATAGGAGAAATTCATGGAGGTTTTACACCCAGCGGAATGTTATTTTATTTTCTGTATCTGGGTTTTTATTTTAGGTTTTTAATGTAGATAGTGGTATTAGCATAAATTTCACCTTCTGTTATAATGTATTTATTACAGCAGAGCAGAAACCAGAGTTTGCACATAGAGTAGGAAATGTAGTTCTAGCTGTCCATTTTACATGTTAACATCTTTGGATATTTATTTATTTGGTGCTGAGTCTCTTCTGTGCTTTTTTTCCAGGTGTGCCATTTGATGATAGTTGTTGCTTTCTCAGCCAAGGGCAGTGCGCAATGCCTCTTTTTAAATGCTAAGTCCTCTTCAACATTCCTCTGAAGTTACAATTTTGACTGATGGATTCAGGGGTCTGATAACAGCTTGCTCACTTGAAGTAAGAGCAAAAAGGGAGGAGTAAAGACGACATCCCAGTGAGAATATGTCAGGACATTCTGAGGGAGATGGTTTTTATATATATATATATATATAATTGCATCAGAGGACTGCTGCCAGGATCAAATGAAGACCTGTTTATCTCAGTCCATTCCCTTTCTACATAAAGCTAATATTTCACTCTGGTTTCTGCAGAATTGAGAGTAAAATGGAAATACAAGAAAACAGCAGCAGGTTTATGTTTCAAATATTTGGAGTTTAGAGAACTTAAACTATTAAGACAAATGTGAATACTTCCTCCTGGATATTTTCTGGATATTGTCTCTCAGTTGGGAATTGAGAAATGAAAGGGAAGAAAAGTTTGAGCTAAACTTTACCAATCCTAAGTCTTGTTTTTCACCAGGGCTAATACCCAGAGAACACGCCTTCCTATAAAACATGTCTAAAACAGCAAGTTAACCTTGATAAATAAGAGCTATAACTCCTTATCAAATAATATTCTAGAAGTCAGTATTTCAGAAATCAGAGCCCCAGGCAAGGAAATGAGAGCAGAGAACGTAGTTCCTGCTCAAGTTCCTATCAATTTAGTGTACATGTAGGCCTTTGTTGCCCCAGGAAAATTAGTTCTGGATTATCCCCGCAAAATCATTTTTCTCAAGAAAATATAATGTTGTGCTTGACATGTTTTGCAAGCTCTTCTGCTTATCTTGCAGTAGAAATCATAGTACTTGCTTATCAGTTTACTGGATTTTGTTCATACATGTCATCCTTGATTTTCAAACACAACTGAAACCATCATTTCCATTGCTAAGGAAGACATTTGTGAAGTGAGTTTTGTCACATTTTACAACTTTTCTTGCCATAGTTGTTAAGTTAGTAACATAGTTGTTAATGGAATCTGGCTTCCCTGTTGACTTTGCTTATCAGAAAGTTGCAAAAAAGGTGTTCACATGACCCCAGGATGCTGCAGCCATCATAAATACATGCCAATTGCCAAGCATCCAAATTCTGATCATGGAGATGCTGCAACAGTTGCAAGTGTGAAAAATGGTCACCAGCAGTGGTGGGATTCAAATAATTTAAGAGAACCGCTTTGCCCAGGGTCAAGTTGGTTGTCATGGGAGGCGTGGCCCATTCCCATCTTCCAGCTCCGCTGCATATGTGGGACGAGCCTCCTGCAATGGCCAACCTGACTCTGGGCGAGCCAGATTGGCCATCGCCCAAACTCTCCGCTGTCAATGTGGTTCCTGGGCGCTGTGCTGCAATGGAGAAACGGGAATTGGAGTGGCCAGCATGAGGGAAGGAGGAGGCTGCTTTTCCTCATTCTTCTCTCTGCTCATCGTCCTTCTCACGCACTGGCTGCTCCATTTCCCGTTTCTCCATTACCCTGCAGTGCTGCAGCGCTTGCCCCACCTACCTCCGCCCAGATGCCCTCACTTGACCCAAGTATTTCTTTGTTAACCTGATTTTCAGCTCTGTCACAGTTCTCCATTGTGTTTCTCGCCGTCGTGTGCAAACATTTGTGGGACTGAAAAAAAAAGTTCAATCAATCAATTCCAATTTTGTGAGATTTTTTTTTTGCGCAAGTAGTTGATATTGATTGATTAAACTTTTTTTTTTGTCCCACAAACTTTTGTTTCCCTGCACATGACAATGAGAAATGCGATGAAGCTTGAAATCAGGTTAGCAAAGAAATGCTTGGGGGAAGCGAGGGCATCTGGGCACCAGGCACTGAAACGAACCTATCTGCTGGCACTTAAATGCGGCAGCATTCCAGCTCTGGCCAGGAAGGAGCAGCCAGCATGGGTGCCACAGGCAGGACACCCGCTCACTTCAGCACCCTCCCAACTCCCTGGCGCTCCGTTGGCACTTTGCCTTATGTGCAGGCCCCTCCCCACCCCCGACTTTGGGGTTTTTTTTCCCCCTCACTTGGAAGGAAATTGAACAAAAAACAGATATGTTTTGGAAAATACAGATTTTCTGGAACACGTCTAACACGTCAAACTCAAAAAAAAATTAGGTATGGGTTCTACCAAACCAGTGCGAACCGGCTGAATCCCATCATTGGTCATAAGTCACTTTTTTCAGTGCCATTGTAACTTTGAACAATGATTAAATAAACGGTTGTAAGTCAAGGACTACTTCTATAGCTGGTTTGGGGGAAGGGAGAACGGTTGTTGAAAAACAAAGTTCACAAAGTAGATCAATTCTCTGGTCAGCCACATTCAAGACCAGGGGTCTCCAACCATGGCAACTTTAAGACTTGTGAACTTCAACTCCCAGAATTCCTCAGCCAGCTTTGCTCTAGACAACCTCACAGCTGATTTATGCAGGTTCAGATAACTAATGTATTCCTGCCTGTCCATCTCATTGTACAATAGTTCAGGTTTACAATCAGTCATAAAAGAAAAGTAAGTTCCAGTGAGCTTTAAAATGATAGTGGACCTGAACACAGATCTAACCTTAATAATTGTAAGAAAGTGGGCAAGATCACAGCTAGATTTTAAATTAGCTTCTGTGACCAATTTATGGAAAACTTTTTAGAGACTGTAGCTATCCAAAAAGCACAGGTAACAAAAAGAACAGATAAAGACAGGTATTATGCCCATCTTATATAAATTTCCTGAGGTTTGAATAAACCTGGAAGAGAATTATGACATGCAAGATAAGAACTTGAATGGTGGGAAATTGAAATATAAGAAGTTTGTAAAAAGTATAATGGCATACCTTTTGCATACAACTCTTGCAATAATTTGCTATGAGATGCTGTGTGTGTGTTTGTGTGTCTGTGTATAGTGTGAACTCATAGTGAAATAGATGGTTGGGAAATAGTAACTGTTGGTCAAGAAAGGACAAACAAGCTTCATTATGTCGTAATTATTTCTGTATCTACAGCTGTTAACTGATTCATACAAAAACAAGGTGGAATTTTCCCAAGATTTTACATGTGTGAACATGGTGGAATTTTCCCAAGATTCTACATTTGTGAACTATTATATTCAACAAAATCCATAAAAGTAAAGAACTAAATAGACCATGAATTTAACCCAATGAAGAATATTGCTTCTTATATCATAGTAACTTAATGGCAATAGATTCTTGGTCCTCTTGGATTGAAATCTTTTCTTTTATGTAGTAAAGTAGCACGCACGTTCCTGCTTTTTCAGTCAATGCAGTGCAACAACATTCCAAATAAATGACTCTAAATAAAAACCACTTTATAGTCAAAACCCAAATGCAGATTCTGAAAATATTTTTATTGGCTCACCCTAGTCCCTCTTCTGAAAAAGAACTTGTCTTGTCTGGATTGTATGAGAGATAAATTCCAGTTGTGATCCTTCTGAATTGCTGAATGATTTACCAGAGATAAAGAAAGCACAATCCAATATGTTGGGCTGTTAAAGAAGAAAGCCAGCATGATTCCTACATGACTTGGGGCAAATCATTCAAAGCTATTCTTTTGCAATGTGAGTGTGATAGACAAGTAAACTTGTAAAAATAAATGCAGTATGACTCTTGAAATACTTTTTTTTTATAGTAGTAATGATAACTAGATATTTTGTGAGAGGTTGCCAAATTTTTCTTTGTAGGCAATTATTTTCTGACTTGTAGTTTCACTGACTGGGACTTAGAGATGTCAACAATTCAGTTGTTTACATTGGCTATGACCTGTCTGAATTCTTGATCTGGAATGTACAAGGGCTATCCACAAAATAGATTACGTTTTCATCTGTAGCAAGAAGGGGCGGAGCTAGCGTGGCCATCTTTGGTCTGTGCGTCTGCCGCTCAGTCTGCATCTAGTCGTGCTAGTGGGAGGTTCGTATCGTTACCCGTTATTTCACAGCAAACATTTGAAATGTGTGCTGCAATTGAAAATCCCGCGAGTTGTGAGGTGCGATCAGTGATAAGGTTTTTGTTGGCAAAAAAACATAAACCGCTTGAAATTTTTTGGCAACTGTGTGAAGTGTACAGGGACAACATCATCACTGAAGGTGGAGTGCGCCAATGGTGCATTAAGTTTAAAAATGGCCAAACTAACGTTCATGATGAACAGCGGAGTGGACGTCCGAGCATTGTGATTGATGAACTTGTCGCGAAAGTCGATGACAAGATTTGTGAAAACTGCCGTTTCACAGTAACGGAACTTTTGCTTAGTTTTCCACAAATTGCACGCAGTTTGTTGCATGAAATTGTTACACAAAAGCTAGGCTACCACAAATTTTGTGCAAGATGGGTGCCAAAAATCCTGACAGAAAACCATAAGAGTCAGCGTATGGCCGCATCACTGACATTTCTGTACTCTTATGACAAAGATGGAGATTCATTTCTTGATCGAATCGTAACTGGAGATGAGACTTGGGTCAAACATGTGAACAGAGAGACCAAATTGCAGTCTATAGAGTGGGGGCACACAAATTCCCCCCCAAACCCAAGAAAATGTTTGCAAACGTTCTCTGCAAGGAAGATTATGGCGACTGTTTTTTGGGGGATAGGCAAGGTGTGCTTCTTATCAATTTTCTGAAACATAGTGCAACAATAAACTCTGTGAGATATTGTGAAATGTTGCAAAAACTAAGAAAAGCAATTCAGAACAAGTGTAGAGGAAAGTTAAGCTCAAAAATTTTGTTTTTGCATGACAATGCCCGACCACACACAGCAAATCGCACTCAAGAAGTCCTGAAAGCTTTCAAGTGGGAGATTTTTCTTCATCCCCGATCTTGCACCAAGCGACTACCACTTATTTCCGAGGATGAAGACCTGGCTTGGAACACAGCGCTTTGACGACGACGCGGAACTGCGGGCGGGCATGACTGACTGGCTCAAATCTCAGGTGGCTGTATTTTATGACAATGGAATTACAAAGCTTGTTCACCGCTATGATAAGTGCCTCAATTTGTTCGGTGAATATGTTGAAAAGTAGTATTTAAGTGTCACTTTCAAGTGTATATAATAAAAATTTTTTCCTACACTTTGTTTTTTTTTTTTTTATCACAAAACGTAATTATTTTGTGGATAGCCCTCGTAGCTTTGGTTTGATAGAGAGTTCCAAATCTGAAGGAAACTTCTTACCCATCTTCATAAGAATGCAGAAATTTCATACAGGATATTGTTAGGATAGAAACTATAAGACTTTTTTTTTCTATTTTTGCTACTTTCTGTGATTGACATACTTTTTCCTTTTGGGTAGGAAATTTTCCCTAAGTTTTTTTTCAAATTGTCAAGCCATATCTAATAGTATTTATTAGATATTTCTTGGGTTTAAAATTGTAGCAATGGGCACCCAAAAGAATAGCAATAACAATAGCACTTAGACTTATATACCGCTTCATAGTGCTTTACAGCTCTCTAAGGGGTTTACAGAGTCAGCATATTGCCCCCAACAATCTGGGTCCTCAATTTATTGACCTCAGATGGATGGAAGGCTGAGTCAACCTTGAGCCCGTGAGATTCAAACTTTTAAACTGCTGGCAGCAGGAGTAACCTGCAGTACTGCTGTCAGCTGGTGCTCCATTTAAAATCCAAGAAAGAAATACTTAGACTCTTTTAATTAGAGAAAAGATATATTTTACTGGAAATCAAGTGATAGCAACAAAAGAATTCTGAATCTGAGAAAATGGGCGCATAAATCACATATACAAAGTAATGGCAATGTTCCCACCCCCAATAGTTCAAATGCTTCTTCCAATTAGAAGTTGTGAATATCATCATGTGAACATCTCCAGGTGGTGATGAGGCTTCTGTCCTTTGACCTTGGCATACTTTGATAAAGGTTTGCAGCTGTGCATAGCATAGAAGAGAAAGCTAAGCAAGGAATAGAAACCTAAACAAGAATGTACTCCCCCCCCACCAGTT